TTTGGGTGGACTTGCGGCGAAGGGTAACAATCTCGTCGTGCGCCCCATCACAGTGAAGGCAGCTTTGCTCGAAGTTCGTTGAATCATGCCACATGAGCTTACTCTCCACAAGTGCAGTGCAGTGTTGCGGACTGATGTGCGACGCCTTAGCTTAAGCCTTAAACCCTGCACCCACACAGGGGTCCTTTGTTCTGCAAATAGTGTTGAACAATTGTTGGTTCCTTCCTCGCGACCGGCCTCTTCGTGACTTCATCAATGAGCGATTATATCAGCCCCGACAAATGTCGATGTGTGCTCTGCCTCCTGTCTGCAGAAAGACTACCGAGTTGCATCTTCATTCTGATTTCGTGTGACAGAGATTGTTTGAGGCAAGAAATTGCTGGGCGGCGAGGAGAAAGTCAAGCACATCGCCAGCGATTTGTGTGGTATTTGCGCAGACCACAAGAAGGGTTTCGATCGCATTTGCAAACAACAGGGAACCCTTGATCAGATGAACGAATTGCGAAAATCGGACGAGAAGGCCTGGGTGCAGGCCTTGTCCGATTACAAAGAGACCCGTGCCGGCAGGGGCTTCTCGGCCGATAGTGATGTTGCCTAAGCTTTGCATGTCTGTTATATGCAGTGCACAGCCACCTCACCGAATCACCGACTCTGGACACATGATGGTTGTCAGGCAAGAAATCGCAGTTCGACTCCACCAAGTACATACAGTATCAGAAGAAAGCTCATTTAAAAGAAGATGATATGGTCTACAAACCGCTCCTGCTGGGCGACTACATTCGATGGCAAATGGACAAGGCCCCCCCTTTCAACATGACGAAGTCGCAAGCCGTGTGCCAATGGCACAAAGATCTACAAAACCCAAAGCTCCTGAAGACGACCAAAGATTTGTACAACCCCACATCCGGAAAGGTGGAATCATTTACACGGGTGCATGTGGCTTATGACGAACTTCAGCACCGCAAAGAAGTCGAGGAACATGGCAAAATCTTTGAAAAAAGTTCAGGTAGCAAGGCACCTACGGCCGGAGTTCTCAAGGAGATGAAGGATCGCTTCAATCAGGAGGCGCGGTTTTGATCTGGGACCGTCGAAAACAAACTCAACAATAGGCTTGTGTCATTCCTGCTTTCCTGCTACAATCTCAGGACAAAGCGAGCACCGCAGCTTTCATGAGCGGGGAGGTGGAACTCTCCATGAAATTTGATGATGAAGATGAACTTGTTGCCGGTGCCGGCGCCGGCGCCCGCAACAAACTGAACAAAGGGAAAAAGCTTGGAAGAACATCCAACGGCAGTAACAGCGCTGTCAAAACGCCCAAGATTCTTGACATCGGTGTGATGATTGCTGGGAGACTGCCGTCCCTCATGCCTCGTATAGAGACCACCTTGAACATGTTGAGGGGAACTTTGGGGGATACCTTGGAGATGGTTTTGGAGCAAGACCCCAACACTACCCAGACGTACAAGAAACTTGTCGAGAAGAAGGTGACGGAGAAGGACATCGATGAGTGCATCAAGAGTGGGAAAGACCCATACGGTTTGGGTCGCACGAAAACCATCTACAAGTGCTTCTATCAGTTTGCGAAACGTGCAATGCTCGTCTCGCTTTTCGTTGGGGACAAAGAATGTCTCCATGCAGATCTTGGCTTCATTGAAAGCTCAGATGATGAGAATGGAAGTTTACTGAAAGAAATGGTAAAGCAACTCGGCACCAGCCGTCCTTGAGTCTTATAACACTTGACTCGACATTTGTGTCTTTTCATAAAACTCAGGCAAGCAGGTTACTTCGAGGATGACATGGAAGATGCGGCTGTGCCCTTGTCGCAGTTGATGGATCTCCAGGCCTTCCTGGAAAAGCCCATCTCAACTTCGGAGGATGCAGATCCGAAGGAGGAGTTGAATGACGCTTGCAACCGTGTCAGGAAGGTTTTGAAGGCAGCTGCTTTGGCCGGTCGCTCCCTGAAAAAAGGCGGCACCGATGTGAAGTCGGCTCTCCAGGCGCACAAAACTTCGGAGGCTTTGAGAGCTAAGAACACCGCTGGCGAGAGAGGCGGCGGCAAGAAGGGCAAAATGTCGGGGTATGCGGCAACTTCAGACCCGAGTGAAGCTTGGCCGGATTAATGCATAGGTTGTGTGCTTCTTTCGGACTTACACACAAGTCGGGCAGCGGCCTGGGCGACACAGGTGATCAAGCTGCACAAGACACTGGAGAATAAGTCACCCCTGGTCATGAAAAAGAGTTTCGAAGAGCTCCCTGCTGGGAACAATCGTGGGACACGACCCTTCATCCTGAGGCGGGGGAAGAACGTGATGAAGAATCTCTTCAAGGAAGAGTCTCTGAGGACTGAGGTGCAGAGCGGGATCGAGAAACTGAAGGAGAACCTGCAAGGTGAGAATCAAACGAAAATGCAGGTGTCGTTTCTGCAACCTTTGGCAAGCAAAGTTCGGCAAGAGATCCTCAGTCTCATCCCTGGGGAAACAGATTGGCCGTTCTGGAACGAAAAGATGTTGTCGGGGGCTTTGTGCTGGGAATTGTCTCGCCGATCTGATTGCAGTTGCCTGAGGCTTGAGGATTCATTTCTTGACATAGTTCGCTGAGGTCGGAGGAGAATGGCCTGGACGCGTCCCAATGTGAGGATGCCCGGGTGTTCATGGGCTCCTGTTTCGTAGCAGGGCAGAAGCTGGGCCACATACACCGAGGCGTGGAACTGGGATGTGTTAGTTCGATGAGGGTCCAGGTCGAAGGCGTCCGTCTCCTCATCGTGGCAAGGATTACAGAGGTCGTTGATGCGCTGCAAGCCGAAGTGGCTGACGGGACATCGGTCACCATCAGTGATATGGTGGACTGGTTGTTACGCTTGGACGAATGCCCGCCTGCAACAAAGATGCCTTCCCTAGTGGCCGGCGTCGTGAGGGTGGGCGACATTATCTATCTCCCCGCGGGGTACATATTGGTCGACAAAGCCTGCGTCGAAGACAATGTGTGTTTGAAACTATTCTGTGTTAGAGTACTGCTAGTATGTTGTTTTGAATTCTGGTTGATTTGGTTAGTTTGAAGCCGTTTACCTGTCCTTGGGAATAAGGAGAATTCCTCTGGCGCTGTTCCCTCCGACGCTGCGGGCGAGTTTCGAGATGTACGTTCAAGAACAGCCCAAGAAGCATTTGGTGCCCTTCAAACAACTCTGTGAAAAGCACAGGGCTGGTGTCTTCGAACCTGACGAGGCCTTCTATCGAGAAATGCACATATATATATATATATATGTATATATGTATATTTGTATATATCAGTTCATGTGATGGACACGGCGAACTCTCACAGGACCCGACAGATGATGAACCGGCTGCAGACTT